GGAGTGGAAGCTGAGCGAAGGAAGGGGGAGAGGACTTGTGAAATTTACCAAGAAGAAAGAAAAATCATAAATGTTGGAAAAAGAAAGCAGAATGAAAATGTGCTATTACCTAACAAAAAGCAGAAATTCTTAGAAGGAAAATAACTACCATTTTCAATTTATACAGAGGGAAATTTCCTCAGTTACTTTCTTATTTTCAATCATGATCATCTTTTAGTCTCTTTGACTTCAATTTGTGCAGTTAATTGACCATTTTGTTGGTCTTTTAACTTCCTGTTTTCTTCTTCTAGACGATTAACTTTCTCTTCTAAACTTTTTATCTTATCCAATAACTCCTGTTTCTGTTTTTTACTTCACTCTTTAGATTTTTCTTGAAATTTGGCTACTTCTTCTCTTTCAATTTCTAATGCTTCCTCAAAAATAGCTAATTCCTCCCTAAGACTGTTTATTTGTCTTTCATAAAAAGCAGACTGACTTATTTCTTCATCAGGTAAGAGAGGAAGCTCTTTTTCTTCTAAGTCTTCATTGTTTCTAACACAGTAGCAAACATTCTTACCAGTAACAATATCAAAATCTAGCTTAGTTTGTAATCTACCACATCTATTACACTTTAACAATTCATCATTTCAATACTTTTCTTCACACTTTTCACAAACCACATCATCTGAAATTCACTCCCCAGTTATTTTACTACAGACTCTTCTTTGACAAATAGATTCATTATTTTTGTTTTCAAGTTTAGAGCAAAAATCACAAGTTTTTTTACTTTCTTTCTCTAATTCCAAAATTGTGTATTCCAGTTCTCTCATTGCAACCTACTCATTACTTAGACTTTACCTCTACTTGAGCAATCATTTCTTGGTTGTGAAAATTTTCCCTTTTGATTAGCTTTTGTAATTTTTGAATTAACTGCCTAAACATACTTTGTTTAACTGAAGTCTTGTTTTCCTCTTTTATAGGTAAAGCAGGTAAAGGTTTACTATTTAAATAGTATAAACTCTTT